AAAATGAAATTCCCATAGTCAGGTCACACGCTCAGCACCCGTATCGTCACATTATAATGCGCCCTTTGTAAAAACTGCGTTCTTTTACATTCAACAAAGGGAGAGAGATTTGAACTAAGCATATCTTCAGGACCGGTCTTGGGTAAAATTAATTAAAAATTTTGAATTTTTTGTAGCTACATTATCGGGCATTTTAGACCAGTAATATTTGTAGTTTAATCAGAGTTTAAATAAATGATATTAAATTAATTAGTAGTACTATTGAAATAAAATACAAAAAATTATTAATACATAATTAAAGTACACTACATAATTTAAATGTAATGTGGAAAAAGAAAAATAAGCAATAAGTATTTAGTAGTATCTTTTGCTAAATAAATCTTAAAACTAAAACGAAACTAAGCAATTATACAGGGTGTTAGTGTATACGACCGACAACGCTCTGTCCTAGAGAGCTCACGTTACCTAATTGATGAATTTTTTAATAGAAACATGAACCCATAATGGGCTTAGTTATCAAAATACAGGGTGTTAAGTTTGAAATCGAAATTTAAAATTTGCCATAAATCAAAAACGCATTTAAATATATTTTTTTTAAATATTTTGGCAAAAAATAAGTTTTGTTGGTGACAACTTTTATTCGCTACTATATATGCTATTGAGACAATTTTTGATAGTTTTGTTTTTTTTTAATATCTTCTTTAAATATTTTTTTTAATTCTCTATTCATTTTCAATTAAAAAAGTAATAAACTTTTATGGGCCTAAAATTAACGGTGTTCTAAAAATAAAAATCTAGAATTACTTAGGTACCTACTCAATATTTCTAATTTCTAATCTAGTAGGCACTTTTTAAAAAGTTCTTGCAAAAACCGCAAATTGACAGAAAATCATTAATTTACAATCTTTAGCACAGGATTTACTATGTTTAGGAATGGATCAAATTGAGAAATTAAAATAAAATTCACTATTAGAAGATATATATGAACAGCATTCCTAAGAGGAATAGTGGAAGCACAATAGATACGAGGCATGTGTACTATGACCAGTGTTGCCAGACCTACTGTTTTGACAGTAGATCTACTGTTTTTGTCTTTGTTGTATTGTTATACTGTTTTAAGGATGAAATATACTGTTTTCGCCAACTTGGAAAATGTTGTTTTCAATTAATTACGTTTGCCTCGTTCTTCAACAAATGTACAAAGGATATTTTCTCAAGTAAATTTGCTGAAGTTAAATCAACGTAATAAGTTGAATAGAGCCAGTATTGTATGTTTGCGAAACACAAAAAATATTTAACTTCTAGAGAATCATCATGTTTTGATTTAAAATGCAAAAAAAAAATAATTGGGAATCATAATAAAAATATGAACAACATGTTTGAATTTTCTGATTTAGACTGATCTGAAAGAAACAGGTACCTATTATTTTTCATTTAATTTTTTTTGTCTTTTTGTTTAATTTTTAATTTGGGTATAAAAGCCAAAAATGTTTATTTTTTGTTTCTTATATAATTTTTTATTTATTTATTATACTGCAAATTATAATTATTTCCCCCTGTAATAAAATCTACTCTTCAGTTTCGATGATCTACTGTTTCATTCCCACCCATCTACTGTTTCAGAAAATTTTTATCTGGCAACACTGACTATGACCATAATGGTGTGAGTTTTTTATTTTTTTTAAGGCTTGGAAACTCTCCTAACCAGAGAATGCCAAAAGAAACATGGTATTACGTAAACACACGTTGTATTGTCAAGTTGCATAAAAGATGTCGATAAGAAATCTCGCCAAGTGCGAGCCACGGTGCTGTGATCTGCTTCCTACTACAAGGATATTGTGAGACTGTAAAAAATGCAAAGTTAGCATTCAAAAGAAAAAATTGGGAAGACTAACGAAATGTTCTTGTTGCATGACAACTCCCGTCCTCACATAGCCTTAGCCACCAAGGTACTTTTGGACTCATTTAGAAGATGTTCTAAACCACCCTCTGCATTCCTCTGACTTGGTACCTTCAGGATATCATATTTTTATCTACTTAAAGGCACACATGGGTGCATAAAGAGGCTTGGTTCTGAAGTGGAAGAAGGAACTGGCGATGGGAGAGGGAAAGCGGGAAGGGGTTCATAAAAAAGCTTGTGCCATTGCTCACCACATGCATTGAACGGGATGGCGATTATGTGGAAAAAAAGTTAAGTGCATTAACAATATCCTGTAATTCTTTTTTCAAATACAATTTTTATAAAAAATATAAAAATGTAGTGCATTTATTTTCTAAACATACCTGGTATACAAATGAATAAATAAAATAAATTGCAAAAATGCAGACATCTCTACAATCTGCAGTCAAATCTAGTTGGGAATTGAAAAACAGATTCACATCAATTTTTTGGTAATATAACAGAAACAAATAAGACATCAATGGCGACTTTTTAGATTTTAAGGTTTTTGAATGTATTTTTGAAGGTTGTTTAATTGTCTCGAGCAAGAACTAAAACAGTTCCCGAAGAATTAACTAGGTAAATTGTCTAATGAAGAACCACATAAAAAAAAAGAAGAAAAAGTAGATTTTAAGATTAGTAAATAATAACTAAAACAATACAAAAAAAATATTAGAACCTGATATTTTAGTTAAAACAATACAGACAAAACACACTGGAAAAGAGATAGATAGAGGAAAACACAGAGAAAATAGAATTTACCGGGAGAAAAAAAATAGAAAAATGAAGAAGACGGTACAAACCCACAAGAATGCAGGAATTAGACAAAAGGAAATAACACACATCCTAAAAGATTAAGGATGAAAACGAGAAACTAAATACTTAAGAAACATTAAAGATATTATAAAAATGAAATGTGTTGGTAAACTATAGAACAAAATAGTTAAATTATAGTAAATAAAAAAATGGTGAAGCACAAAACCGATTCAAGCGGTAAAACAGAGAAAAGTTAAAAAAGATAGTAGCTAAAGATGTTATAGAAACTAAATTTGAAAGAAGCTTAGACTTAGACCAATTTATTTAAATTATATATTATCAAGTATCAATGTAAGGTTTTTTTAATAGTAATAACCTGTGTTTATTATCTACTGCTCAACTGGTTCTGGTAAAGGATCTTGAGGTGCGAATTTCATAATTTTAGCATTAATATATTGAAGTAACTATTTTTATTTATAGTATAATAAAATGCAATATTTTGACTGATTTAACCTAACTTTTCATCATTTCCTTCCATTAAACCTAAAATAAAGTGATTCATGAAATTGTCAGTTCTTGACACATAGGGTCCTCGAGTTTTCAACGTTGCCATACTATATTTTTGATTTTTATCTCACTGATAATTTCCAAGTTTAAGATTTCTGTTTGAATGAGAAGAAAATAAGTTATAGGTGAAAATATAATGTGTTATGTGAGATTTTTCATTTCAATTTGAGCTGTGTCCAGGCCGTTGAAGTCTATGCTGGTAGGCGTAGCCAGGTATGGGTTAAAATTTTTTGGTGGCCACCCTACGGGAAGTCGTTGTTCCGTTTTGAGTGAAAGAAAATTTTAAAAAAGTTGGCTTGGTATTACATGTTGTGATTTAATTAATTTTGTATATAGTTTTTTTGAGCTGCATTTTTAAAATTAATTTGGTTGATATATTGATTTTTTCATTTTATATAGAATTATTACCTTAATCTTTTTGAAGTAAACGAAAAATGTATGATTATTGATTATAATGTGTTATGTGAGACTTTTCTTTTCAATTTGAGCTGTATCCAGGCCGTTGGAGTCTATGCCGGTAGGCGTAGGCCAGGTATGGGTTAAATTTTTAGGTAGCGGCGAAGCCGCTACCCTACGGGAAGTCGTTGTTTCGTTTTGAGTGAAAGAAAATTTAAAAAAAGTTTTTCAAAGCCAGATTACACCATATCATAATATTTAAATTTTGCTTTAACTTTACATTTATTAACGATTATCCCTGTATTTGATTACACATTATATTAAAGTGAAATTTAAAGGGTAAATCAGTAAAATGATTGATTTCTTTGTCATTATTTTTGAAAACATATTTTTTTATGGGTGTAAAACGGGTTTGAATTTAGTGATAGCAGCGCGCTAAGCGCTTACGGTTGAACTACCAACAAGGAAACAAGTCCCGCCATTTATTCAAATTTTCTCTTTTTAAATTTCTATGAGTATACCTTTCTCAGGTCCATAAAACTTTTATTTGAAATTTTTTTACTTGTCTATAGATCAAGATATTGTCTTATAATCTACAAATTGTCTGAACAGTTCTATTACAATAAACTAATAAATTTGTTCATTTGTTTGCGAATTTCACTTTTTAATTTTGTATGTATTTTTTTGAGCTGCATTCTTAAAAGTAATTTGGTTGATATATTAATTTTTTCATTTTATATACGATTATTACCGTACTTATCTCTTTGAAGCAAACGAAAAATTTATGATTGTAAATTTATAAATTTTAAATAATCCTTATAATTTTATTAACAACTTGGCAAAGTTTGTTATTTTTAAGACAGAAACGTCAGTAACTGTCATTTAGAGTAATTGTTTTGTGATTATTATCTGTAAAATTGGGATTTTTAATTCAATTTTTTTCGAAAAATACTGCTTCATCCATAATTTTTTTTTTTTTTTTTCAAAAAATTACTATAAAAACTAGTTACCTTTGTGTGTTTAAAATTTTTTTGTGAATTTCGCCCCTCAGGATCCTTTACCGGACCCGCACAACTGGTAGAAAAAAGTTAAAGGATCCAGATACACAACATAATGCATGCAATTAATTAAAAATATGTGATAAAATAAAATCATATTTTATTACTCTTCATGCCATAAAAATATTTTCACCAAAAGCATATTGTCTCCTGACACCGTCCCTGCTCTCATCAACTATACCCATTCATATATTTGTAACCTGCCCCTCTCTCATTCTAAACCACTAACCAAGAATATCCGTATAAAACTAAAAGGACCTATCGTATCGTAACTTCATTCTCAACTTATACTCGCAACCCGAGAGTCGTTCGCATACAGAGTGTTCGCGCAACGTGTTTAGCAACGAAAAAATATGGCGCCTACACCGTACAACAGTGAATTAAACGAGGAACCCATATCCCGAACTTACCAATATAGGAAAGTTATGAAGCCTATGTTGGAAAGAAAACGCAGAGCAAGAATCAACAGGTGTTTGGATGAATTAAAAGAACTCATGGTGACCGCTCTCCAGAATGAAGGCGAAAATGTTTCAAAATTAGAAAAAGCTGATATCCTGGAGCTAACAGTTCGACATTTACACAACCTTAAAAGCCACCACCAACTGGTGTTACCACCAGAGCAGAGTTATGCTGATCGTTTTAGAGCTGGTTTTGCTCAATGTGCCCAAGAAGTTACTCATTTTATTACAACTCCTTCTGATGTTATTGATCCATCGGCTGGTAGGAAGCTTCTTCAACATCTTGGTTCTTGTGTTCGGCAATTGGATTATGTGTCTCAAAATTATAATGTTCAATATACCCAGAAAAACGCGGCGAGTTCTCCAGGTTCTAATATAAAGGCTCCTCCTCCACCGATGTGGAGGCCATGGTGATTATTCTAACGACTCTTTAATTTTAAATAGTGATTTATGTGTTTGAAGGAAACGTTACAACAAATTTTGTTCTATTTTCCGTAGGTAATTTATTTTAATATGCTATTATACATTTACTTTACTGCTTTTAATATTAATTAAGCTTTCATTATTTTAAAATAAACAATCTAAGTTAAATTAATTATAAAAATTAAAGATTTTGCTCGAGAAATATTAAATTGTTAAAAAATAGTTTTTAAAAAATTTGTTGTAAGGTTAATTGTTAATTATGTGATTTTTTTTTATAGAAGTAATTCTTCAGTAAATAGCGTTATTTCATAAAAATCGTTGTCTTCCATTTTTATGATTTAATTTCAAATTTGTAGCTTTAATCCTGTGATAGTAGAGTTAGGTGAAGTTGTTACATAAACCGATAGAAATGTTTGTAATATTGTATTTTAGTATTTTTAGTATTTTGTGCGTGTTAAAGCTGGATTCTAATTTAATTTTTAAGTAATGTTTTTCTATACATACAGTTGCAATAAAAGATAAGTTTTAAGTTTCGTTTGATAGATGAATCCAATTTTAACAACCTGTTGAAGATTTGTAAGTTTTGATAAATAAATAATTTACCAAATTTCCATTCTTTTTTTATTTTCTGGTGCTATTATAGATAAGAAAAATAAGAATAAATATTTATTTTATTTTACTTGATACAGGGTGTAATAAAAAAATGTACAGTAAATTTAATCACAGTTTCTGGGATCGAAAATAAGCCTGCTTATATAAAAAATTGATAGTAACAGGGTGTTTTTGCTGTAAAACGGCTTAATATAATTTTATGAAAATGTACACGAAATGTTAGTATACAGTGACCAATAAAATTTGTCAATGGCGTCCAAAATTGCTTTAATTCTATAGATTTTTAAAAGAGTTCTGCACCTCTTTGACCCCCTTATTTTTTTAGACAATGAAATTTAATTAAAAACAGGACGCCACTAAAATTCTACATCTGTTTTTAATTTTTGTTTACTCTAAGTTTTTGTTTGTGATACCCTTAATTACTGAAAGAAGGCCATAGTAACAAATACAATGCATTTTTTTTATTGATCTACTGCATATTTATTAAAGATTTTTTTTTACTATTGTACAAATTCATAGATGATCGATATTACAAGAAAATAATTGTAAATGAAGTTAAAAAATCTGATGTGTCCAACACATGACTTTCCTATCTAGTTATTGTAGGCTTTTTCCGGTTAAAGGATAAACTAAATATATACATTGTCCACATACATCTACCTCGAAACATTTTTCTATAGATATTCATGGAAAACGAAAATACTGAAAAATTTAAATTTCCTACAATTTTTTCATTACGGTCCATTTTAGAAAAATCATGCATAAACAAAAATTATAGAGATCGATATCGCAAACAACTTTTATTTTAAAAACTTTCATAAAAATCAGAATTTTGCACATTTTGTCAAATTTCTCGAATACGGACCATTTCAGGAAATTTTTACAAAACACAAAAATTATAGATAATAATATTAGAAGTAACTTTTATTTGAACAATTTTTTTCTCCAAACATTAATAACAGACATATTCCATAAAATATAAAAGTGGCCTCCCATAAAGTACCCCCCCAGATGTTCCGACTATGTCCAAAATCTAATCATTTCACGTCAGGCCGAAATAAACCTTAAGTTTAAAATTTAATGTTTTTTTCTTTATCCGTTTTTGAGTTTTCTTCAAAATTCGAAATTTACACATTTTCTCAAATATCTCGAATTATCTATAGAATAAAAATTATAGAGAATTATATTACAAACAACTTTTATTTGAACAATTTTTATAAAAAATTATTTTTTTTACATTTTGTAAAATTTCTCGAATACGGACCATTTTAGAAAAATTTTGTATATAACAAAAATTATAGATAATTATATTAGAAGTAACTTTTATTTAAAGAATTTTCTTCTCCAAACGTAAATAACACATATATTCTATAAAATATAAAAATGACCACTCATAAAGTACCCCCCAGATGTTCCGACTCTGCCCAAAATCTAATCAGCTCATTGGACGCTGAAACAAAGCTTAAGTTTAAAATTTGGTGTTTTTCTGTGTATCGGTTCATGAGTTATGCGTTATACAGACACACACACAGACACACACACACACACACACACACACACACACACACACACACACACACACACACACACACACACACACACACACACACACACACACACACACACACACACACACACACACACACACACACACACACACACACACACACACACACACACACACACACACACACACACACACACACACACACACACACACACACACACACACACACACACACACACACACACACACACACACACACACACACACACACACACACACACACACACACACACACACACACACACACACACACACACACACACACACACACACACACACACACACACACACACACACACACACACACACACACACACACACACACACACACACACACACACACACACACACACACACACACACACACACACACACACACACACACACACACACACACACACACACACACACACACACACACACACACACACACACACACACACACACACACACACACACACACACACACACACACACACACACACACACACACACACACACACACACACACACACACACACACACACACACACACACACACACACACACACACACACACACACACACACACACACACACACACACACACACACACACACACACACACACACACACACACACACACACACACACACACACACACACACACACACACACACACACACACACACACACACACACACACACACACACACACACACACACACACACACACACACACACACACACACACACACACACACACACACACACACACACACACACACACACACACACACACACACACACACACACACACACACACACACACACACACACACACACACACACACACACACACACACACACACACACACACACACACACACACACACACACACACACACACACACACACACACACACACACACACACACACACACACACACACACACACACACACACACACACACACACACACACACACACACACACACACACACACACACACACACACACACACACACACACACACACACACACACACACACACACACACACACACACACACACACACACACACACACACACACACACACACACACACACACACACACACACACACACACACACACACACACACACACACACACACACACACACACACACACACACACACACACACACACACACACACACACACACACACACACACACACACACACACACACACACACACACACACACACACACACACACACACACACACACACACACACACACACACACACACACACACACACACACACACACACACACACACACACACACACACACACACACACACACACACACACACACACACACACACACACACACACACACACACACACACACACACACACACACACACACACACACACACACACACACACACACACACACACACACACACACACACACACACACACACACACACAGACAGACAGACATCATCGCGAAAATAGTCAAAACGGATTCAGGGGACCTCAAAACGTAAAAATCCGTCGAAAACTCGAGGTCGAAAAAAATCATGATTCCTATACTTTCCTTATATCTGTATACAGATAGGAAAGTAAAAATGGTGAAAATACATTAGTTTAAGATCAACAGAAAAATTTAATTGTGCATATTTTTTACATGACCTTTCTTCAGGGGCATATAGCTCAGAAATTAAGGCTTCCACAAAAATACTAGGTGACAAAAAAAATTATAACAGTTGTAGCATTTCAGTGGTGTTCTCTTTTTATCTAAATTTCATTGTCAAAAAAAGTAGGGGGGTCAAAGGGGTGCCGAACCCTTTTAAAAACCAATAGAATTAAAACAATTTTGGACGTCACTGAGTCCATTTTATTGGTCACTATAGACTAACATATCATCTACATTTTCACAAATCACTTTTAAAATTTCTACTTTAACACCGTGGAGGTTTTTTACTATCTATTTTTTATATCAGCAAGTTATAGTCTAGTTAACAAGTGCTTTTTGGGTCAAACTTTTTTCTCCGCCTCCGAAAAATATGAACTAGATGTCATTCAATTCGGAATAAAGAGTAGGTAATTTTTGAAAAAATTCAAGAGCTGCTTGCAAGAAAAAAAAATAGGCTTTGGTTTTTTGCAAATATCTCAAAAACTATTTGACATTTTCCAAATTTGAAAAAAGATTCCTTCCGGGACTGTAGGATCAATATTTATAATTTTCCCAGAGGGTTGAAAATACGGCCGAAAACGGAGACGCTGGCTTGCTTAAGCTCCGCCCACTGTGGACTTTTAATGCTTGAATATTATTTAAACTTATTAAATATGAACATTACGAATTAAAAAAATTCAGGCGTCTACTGGATAGATGAATGAACAATACTTTACGGTCAAAAAATTTTTATCGAGATTTTTCTATTAATTATGCATTAGTTAATTAACAATTTTTTCCTATTTCAACATGAACATTGCAAGTGAGATAATTATTAGATAACAAATCTGAGATGTTTTCTTCTTTTGGAGCAATTTTTGAACGGTCTCAGAAGAGATTCCCATTGGAAAAATGAAAAAATTGTTATTTTTCACTTTGACATTAACAATTTACAAAAAAAAATAAAAAGCTTGATTAATCATTGAAACATTTTTTTATTTATGTTACTAATAATCCGTTTTCTATCATCAGAAGCCACATGAAAATGATTTTTAAAATTTTTTACTTCCTATTGTTAAAAAAATTAATGTAAACAAATGCGTTGTTTACAAGATAAAAAAAATCGTTCCTTAAAAAATGATTTTATTGCTTAAAAACGGATTTGTTAATTAACAATTTTTTTACCACTTCTTGTAATTATTATTAAGGAACCATTTTTTTTAATCATAATTTATCTTGCTCTTTGGTAACTAAAAAAAATTGTTTTTATTTAAATTTTTATTGTATTTATTAAACAATTTGTTATAATTTTTATGTATTTTTTATTTTTCTACATGATGAAACCAAAAAAAAAACATGTAATGTAAAAAAAATTATTTATATTTTTTATCGAATTTTATAATTACCTTTAGCTGTAACTCTACCATTCTCACCTGGTTTTTTGTCTTTTAAATTAATATAACTTATAAACTAATTAAGATACGATGAAACAACTTAAGACATATTTATTCTTTATTAATTAAAGAACAAATTAGGCTCAAAATTCAAGCTGTTACCCAATTATTTATTTAATTTACGGCATTTCTTTTATACTATCAGGAAATTTAGTTACAGCTAAAGGTTTTTTTTCAAAAATAATATATTGCTTTTGTTTCATCATGTAGATAAATAAAATAAATAAATAAAAACAATTTAATTGTTTATAACAAATTGTTTATTAAATAAACAATGAAAATTTAAAAAGAA